AGCTGGGGACATGGCTCTATACAACCCCCCCCCCGAGCTGGGGACATGGCTCTATACAACACATCTACCGACAACTATTACCATTCCCCATTGCACTCCATGGATACTTCAAGAGCCTGTTTGGGGATAAATGGACAAGAGAGGACATAAATTCCCTTTATACTTTTCTTCTCCCCTTACAGTATCAAATCTGCCTTAAACTGTATCGAAACCCAACAGGAAAAGTGTCCTGTGTTGCCTCTCACCAGTCCTTACATGTGGTGGCTGCTTTAGTTTTCTATTTTCAGCCTTTTTTTTCCTTTTCTGGTGTTCCTGCCAGTAGCTTCCAGTCCTAGGGTGACACCACTTCTCACTGTGCTGGATCTATGCAGGAGCAGAGTTGTCACCCTCGTACAGGAAGTGTGATAAGGCGACCATACACTCTGAATATACAATCGCCCTTAGAGCTAGTATCAGCAATGGAGGACCTGATGTCTGATTGGATACACATGGGATGTATTGCATAGCTGTGTCCTCGTATTACATTGTTTTGGTAAGTCTGAAGGAGATTGTACATCAGTGGGTGTTCCCGTGGGCCATCAATGGGCTCCTGTGGGCCATCAGTGGGTGTTCCCGTGGGCCATCAGTGGGCTCCTGTGGGCCATCAGTGGGTGTTCCCGTGGGCCATCAGTGGGTGTTCCCGTGGGCCATCAGTGGGTGTTCCCGTGGGCCATCAGTGGGTGTTCCCGTGGGCCATCAGTGGGTGTTCACGTGGGCCATCAGTGGGTGTTCCCGTGGGCCATCAGGTGGTGTTCCCGTGGGCCATCAGTGGGTGTTCCCGTGGGCCATCAGTGGGTGTTCCCGTGGGCCATCAGTGGGCTCCTGTGGGCCATCAGTGGGCTCCTGTGGGCCATCAATGGGCTCCTGTGGGCCATCAATGGGGTCCAGTGCCCACACAGGGTACTCACACAGACTCAGCAATCATTCAACATCTGTACCGGGATATAGCCACACACGTCTGCACCGGGGATGTGGGCTCAGATCTCTGACTGCTGAACTCCAGATACAATGTCCTGATCTCAGAGAGAAGAGTCAATTCTTTTTTTCCGGTGCTAGGCAGGGCTGCGGGGCCCAATAGCTGGACATTGGAAGAAGCCGGTAATGCTTCCTCCTGCCTGCAGCAGACTGATCACTGGGGGAGGAGAGACTGAGGAAATGCTTCCTCCTGCCTGCAGCAGACTGATCACTGGGGGGAGGGGAGACTGAGGAAATGCTTCCTCCTGCCTGCAGCAGACTGATCACTGGGGGAGGGGAGACTGAGGAAATGCTTCCTCCTGCCTGCAGCAGACTGATGACATCACCTCAGCCTAGGCAATGTCTGGAGCTCACGGACGGCTTTTTAATGATAAAAGGTGGAAGTTTCCTGTTGCCGTGTACTGCGGCACGTTTAAGATTTTAGAGCGATGCCGAATTAAAATGAAAAGAATGTATTTTTAAAAAAAAGTAAAAAAAAATGAAGATTTTGTGCAGCGGGCCGTGCGTTCGGAGGGTTCGGAGGGTAAGCGGCCTTCGAGGGATTAGTCCTCCTTAAATCCTGCGAGAGCGTTCTGTATAATTGGGTGAATATGATAAGCAGAAGGATAAACTCCCACACAGACTCCTGTGAAGCTGCGCCGGTCCCCCCTCCCCCCCCAGGAATTCAATCTCCGATAACAGGAAGATGCGGTGCCAAGCGATGCGCGGCTCTGCTGCCAGCTCCCCAGGGATAGGGGGTGGGGGGTGGGGATTGGCCGCTATCGCCTTTTGGCAAGTCCTGCCTATGATGCTGCAGCACGGCGGGGGTTAAAATCTCAGAAGATGGAATTTTACAGCAATAAGAGAAAAGATTTTCGGCAACAGTTGAAAACCCTCCAGAAGCAGCACAGTGATGAGCTCATCTCTGTATCACTCTGCCCTCTCCTCCTATCAGCATGCTTCTTGTCAGCACACGAACTGATTGGCTCCTCGCGCTGCTTCTCCGTCTCCCAATCTGAGCTCTGCTGTACAGGGACTACAAGAGGCTGATACCAGGTCGCATTCAGGTACTTTACAGTGCATTTAAAGGGTAATTCCGCCTGCTCACTAAATGGGAGAAAATGTAATCAGTCACCTGACCACACTGACCAATGAGAATCACTATACATACGTGTCCGGACCACCCTCAACCCGCCTGCTGAAAAAAAAACACTTCTACCCCCAAATTGTGGATAAACAGAGCATTGTGGGTAACGTCGATGTCACAGCGCGATCGATGGCGGCACGAGATTACAACAAGATACGAGAAGACAGTATGAGGATCATGAGACGGATTGATGGTCTCCGAAGGGGTTCTCCTTATGCCGGCGAATGTGGCTCCAGTGACAATACTGTGGCTCCCAGTGCCTAAAACATGTTACAGTCTGAAAATGCCATTTGTCTGGCTGCCAATGCCAAGGATTCAGTGAGCAGATCAGAAATGGTGACTTCACTGGCTGCATGCTTGTCGGCTTGCAAAGTATCCACACAATGTCAGCAATGGCGGCCCCCATCTCATGACAGGGTCACTTTAAGCCACAGCTTCTGATAAGATCTGACAGCGGCCCTCGGGGCCGGCCCACTGGACACAGCCGCGGGTTTTATTATTGGCAACAGACTTGGGAGGCCTTTAGGTCTCTCTGCTGCCCCGAGGATGAGATATTTACAGTGTAAACATAGGTGCAGCCCGGAGTCACATGACCCGCCAGACGGCCAACGGTGACGGAATGTGACAAGAACAGGTTTTGGCTCCACCGGCTGCCAATTACCATCAGCCAATGGGCACAGCAGGTGTACAGACCCGGGAACTCAGCACAGGGATGGTGGGGGCCCCTCATAATGGGCACAGCGGGTGTACAGACCCGGGAACTCAGCACAGGGATGGTGGGGGCCCCTCATAATGGGCACAGCGGGTGTACAGACCCGGGAACTCAGCACAGGGATGGTGGGGGCCCCTCATAATGGGCACAGCGGGTGTACAGACCCGGGAACTCAGCACAGGGATGGTGGGGGCCCCTCATAATGGGCACAGCGGGTGTACAGACCCGGGAACTCAGCACAGGGATGGTGGGGGCCCCTCATAATGGGCACAGCGGGTGTACAGACCCGGGAACTCAGCACAGGGATGGTGGGGGCCCCTCATAATGGGCACAGCGGGTGTACAGACCCGGGAACTCAGCACAGGGATGGTGGGGGCCCCTCATAATGGGCACAGCGGGTGTACAGACCCGGGAACTCAGCACAGGGATGGTGGGGGCCCCTCATAATGGGCACAGCGGGTGTACAGACCCGGGAACTCAGCACAGGGATGGTGGGGGCCCCTCATAATGGGCACAGCGGGTGTACAGACCCGGGAACTCAGCACAGGGATGGTGGGGGCCCCTCATAATGGGCACAGCGGGTGTACAGACCCGGGAACTCAGCACAGGGATGGTGGGGGCCCCTCATAATGGGCACAGCGGGTGTACAGACCCGGGAACTCAGCACAGGGATGGTGGGGGCCCCTCATAATGGGCACAGCGGGTGTACAGACCCGGGAACTCAGCACAGGGATGGTGGGGGCCCCTCATAATGGGCACAGCGGGTGTACAGACCCGGGAACTCAGCACAGGGATGGTGGGGGCCCCTCATAATGGGCACAGCGGGTGTACAGACCCGGGAACTCAGCACAGGGATGGTGGGGGCCCCTCATAATGGGCACAGCGGGTGTACAGACCCGGGAACTCAGCACAGGGATGGTGGGGGCCCCTCATAATGGGCACAGCGGGTGTACAGACCCGGGAACTCAGCACAGGGATGGTGGGGGCCCCTCATAATGGGCACAGCGGGTGTACAGACCCGGGAACTCAGCACAGGGATGGTGGGGGCCCCTCATAATGGGCACAGCGGGTGTACAGACCCGGGAACTCAGCACAGGGATGGTGGGGGCCCCTCATAATGGGCACAGCGGGTGTACAGACCCGGGAACTCAGCACAGGGATGGTGGGGGCCCCTCATAATGGGCACAGCGGGTGTACAGACCCGGGAACTCAGCACAGGGATGGTGGGGGCCCCTCATAATGGGCACAGCAAGTGTACAGACCCGGGAACTCAGCACAGGGATGATTCTGAGGTGTAAAGATGGAATTACACTCTCAGTTTCAGGCGTGACCTCCGGGCGCTCCGGTGACACGGAGGATACTCATCGGCGATCACCACAGACAGCCGTCTATCTGGAGCTTAAAGGATTAGGAGGGCTGTGGCATTTCGTCAGCGGGCAGACGGGCCGGCCTGTGTCCCCCACCCACGG